CACACACACACACACACACACACACACACACACACACACACACACACACACACACACACACACACACACAATGCAACATATTAGTTACGGCTTTGTTTGGACCCTTTATTGTAGCTTGAGTGTCGTTTGGTATGTCTAAATACTTCTCACACCTACATACAGCCAGTGTGAATCCGGGCTTGACCTCCTTGGGTCTTATTACATATGTCTTCTGAGTCAAATACACACAGACACATACACCGGGAGAGAGAACGAGAGATCAAGATAGAGTACAGGAGAGAAGGATAAAGATACCAAATCAACATCAATATTATCATGTCGCTAATCTAGTTATAGCCCAGACAGACTCTAGACGGTTTCCAGTCAATTGCTGGCAAAGCCAAAAGAGACTTCAAATGACCTATCATTATGAAGAAGTCTGCAAGATGTCCTAAGACAGTGTAGCAATGATTCATCAGCCGTACTAACAACTATGAGAGGGTCAAAAAGGCATACAGGGCACAAAAAATAAAAGTCGATTGCCCATATATTAGACAGGTCTACAAATCTATTCTCTTATATCTTCCTTCTTTGACAAAATAACAGAACAGTCGAGCTGGATCAGAGGGTCTACGAGAATGCATATAATCAGCTCATACTCACGAGAGTAAGTGAAATTAGTGTGGTAATGTAAAGTAAAAGTAATATTATATATTAGTATATATATATCAGTATATATCAGTAGTAACATAAATAGCCATTATAATAGTAATAATAATAGTGGTAGTAACGGCATAAATTAGTGGTATTAGGAATAGAGTAGTAGATTATAAGGATAAAATGGGCGCGATTTGTGTGAATGGCAGGTATGCAGTTAAAACTTTTCCTAGCCTCAGTTTCCTAGCTAACTAAGGTATCTCGGGTTGTTGTAAACGGATCTAGATAGTTTTGAAGACTATTCATTTGACATAAATCGGCCATGCTCTCAAAACTCTGAAGAAGGAGTCGCAAGTAGGGTCAATAGTCCTTGCACGCAAGACCCATCTCAGCCTGCAAACGCAGAAGGATGATATTCCAGACTCTCGCAAACGCCACTGCCACTGTCTAAGAAAGAGAGCATCGTGAATAAGTAAACGGCATAACGGAATAGGATTCAGAAAGGAAAACTAAAAGAAGAAGCAGAAAGAAGGCTTGCATGGGACTCTAACCGAGAGTCAAGAGTGGGAATGAGCCTCAAGCGGCCTATGGATTGCCCTACAAGAGAGGACGTGCCATCACAGCTCAGCAAGCAAATAGTGCACCATGGAAGCCGAGCTATCCTTGAGCCTTGGTCGTGGAAAGGTCGAAAAAAAGAGATTCCAGCATAGTGCCATCGCGTTAATCTTACTTTCATCTCTTTAAACCGCAACTTTAGCTCAGCCGGGGTCAATCGGTAGTCATCCAATCCGTCGCCCCAACGAATGCGCTCGAAAACCTCTAGGTCGCCGCCTACCAACCATTCGCCGGAGGAGAGGATCTGCTCAATCACGGGATGTCCGGAGTGGCAAGTGCCGAAAATACGGCAGCATCGCTCCTCCTGCGTGGCCGAAAGGTTGCATCAACAAGAGAATGTGCATGAAAGTAAAATTAATCTGTTAATTGAGATTTATTAAACAAAGCTCCATCAATAACGATATGTGGTTAGGTTGCTAAAAGCAAGGTTAATGGATAAGGCGAACTAAAATATAACTTCATTTTTAATATAAATACTACTAATATTCATATTAAAACAATTCTCAATTTTTTAAATATCTGTATAAATGGTATTAGTGATATTAATTAGTTGATAATAAACACTACTTATATTCAGAGTAAGAATGTTCCGAAACTATCGGCAATTCTTGAATAAGAACTATAGGTCCACACATCTTCTTATGTGGTTTAGAGTCGCCAAGTTATTATCCAAAAACTATTTGTAGTTTAAAAGCATGCGCACACTGAATATAAGCAACACCTTTAATTGTAATGGCAAATACATCAGACCTCATCGACAATAACACTAAAATATGATTTGAAAGAGGTCTGGTTTATCTTGAAGGTCGCTTATTCTTTGTGACTAATTTGTATTAATTATTGTTTTTCGTGGCTACCAGTAAATCAGTAATATGAGATGTATTCACCCAATTTC